CGCACATTATCAATTCCCTTCTCCATTACACTCATTCCATCTTTCACAATCAAATTTAAAATATGTGCAGCACAATGCATATGAATTAATTTGCCCTTCAACATACAAGAGAGGAGTGGTAACTTGCCTTCCACAGCAGCCTTGTTCTTTGCAAGGTCATCACCATCGGTGCCAATCAAGGTCTTCATGAGGCTATCATTGACACTACAGTTGTCAAGAGTTATAGTGGACAGATTCCTCTCAATATGCCAATCTAGGAGAACTTCATGAAGAACCTCTGCTATAACCTCTGCAGTATGTGGTGCCGGAACATAAATAAACCTACAACAATAAGAAAACTTTTTAGCTAATACGAAAACTTTTCTTTGGTTGTTTTCTGTCCACAAGAACACAAAATGATGTGATTTATTATTACCTAATAAGAAAACTTTTAAGCTTCCAATCTTCATCTAGAAAATGGGTCAGAATCGCCATGTAACCTTTTCTCTCGGTGGTTTCTTCATCCACAAGTCCGTAGTAACAACACGAGCACTCAATTTTTGATGTAATTCACCATAGATTGCTTCGCACTTGATACATATCCAAGATATCCTTCCTAATTGTGTTTCTAGACACTACCTTGAATGTTTGGTTTGCAATGCAAAGACAAAACTTCATGAAATCCAACATAGTCCACCATGGAAAGAGGAAACTCATGGACAATAATCATTAAAGCAAGTTCTTTCCTAGCGACATCTTGATCAAACACATACTTCTCTAATGTGACAAAGCCATCTTGTGGGTTTGCAGATAATTTAAGAGTAGACTGTGTTAAACCTTTTCTAGTAGCTCTTGTCACGACATACAAAGAATGTGATTCTTTAAGTGGGTTGTACCATTTCTTGTCTCCCCACCTAAATGTTTTTTGCACCATTTACATTTTGCTTTCCATACCCCACTTACATTAATCAAATCAAAGTCTTTCCATACTTCAGATCTTAGCTTCCTCTTACTACCAACAGAACATCATCTTCTACCTCTACCACCTGAATTATTACCTAGAGTTGCGTAAATCGATTCTGCCGTCTGTCTTTCTTGAATCGGATGGCGGTGTCTTTGAATTGGTCGTAAGACGTGGGCGAGAACCCACAGATTGAGATGCAAAGCAGAAGCAGCAGCTTGAGACCCACTTGAAGCGCCAGAGCCGGACATTGCTCACTTCGACAAATACAAAAGGGAAATTCGTGATGAGCATAGACATAAGATGGGCTAACTTCTCAACAAACTTTTCAATGGCTATTGACAATAAGAAAAGCATAAGAAAGTGGAAATCACTTCAATTTACGGCCATTTGCAAAGAATGAGTGCGTTTTCAAACAGAGCCAATTAAAAAGAAATATGGAAAAAACTTTTCTAACAACATATGGAAAAATTGCATATATCCTTTGGTGTGAGCCAATTGCAAAGAATGAATTCATTCTATGAATAGAGAGAATTGCGAAAAACAAATTTTTCACAAAAGCTGCATGAGATATATGCCAATTGCAAATAGCGATAATTGAAGAATTTTACATCTTAGGGTTTCAACAGAGCCTTTAGCATGGCACCCATGAGAAGTACTATGAGCTTAAATACTAGACTCAGAAAATATACCATCGGTTTGAAACCCGATGCCGATGCAACATCAACATCTCTGGCGACACCAAGAACAATTGGCATGCACGCCGCCTAGAATGAGACTTACAGAGTGCTCTCAACTATAGGCAGTAATCTGAGAGACTGAGACCGTGTCCATGCAAGTAAGCGCAAGAAAAATCAAAATGTCACATCTCTATAGATCGATTTCATAAGCAGTAAGCGCAAGAAGAAGACGGCCGAGGAACCATACCTAAGTGACCGCATACAAAGAAGAAAGCGCCAAGGCCGATCATGCGCCAAGCTCCGGCACACACAGACGCAGCCCGGATTAGCTCCAGCAGCCTCGCTCGCTCCAGATCTTGCCCCACCGGCGGCACCACAGATCCGGCGTCGTCCCCACGCCCCGCACCTGTAGACCGCGGCGGCGGCGAGCGCCGCACCGGTAAGTAGCCCAGCAATGAGGAAGCAACGGAGAGGCGGGGAAACGAACGGATGGAAAGCGGCGGCTGAGAGCGAGGAGGGCAAGAGGACGGACGGCTCACCTCTTCTGGTCGGCGGAACGGCAGGAAGACGGAACTCGAGGCTGAACTCGTTGCGCGTGAAGCGTGAGAGCAGGTTGGACTTGCCGACGCCGGAGTCGCCGATCAGGATGCGCCGCCGTACCTGCGTGCGGCCGTGCGGGGAAGGAACGAGCCGCCGACCCGCCGTCGCTCGTCGCCCGTGCGTGGATGCGGCTGTGCGGCTGCGGCGCCTGGGTGGATCCGTGGATGCGGATGAGGGCTGAGGGAGTGAGGGTTGGCCGGTTGGGGGCTGAACGAATCATCGATTCCACGCTTATATACTTAGGGTTCCTAGGTGGGCTTCTGGTGGGCTGAAATTTCCGGAGCCCCGATGGAGCTCCACGGGTCAATTTTAATATCCGCCCCAAAACCGCGGTATTTCGGGTATCCGAACCCGCAAATCCGTGGGTGAAAACCAGGAACCGAAACCGAAAACCGCGGACCCGAAACCCGCGGATACCCGCACCGAACCCGATCCGCTGCCATCAACCAGACACTCTCTGCACCCCACGGTTCAGGCCAGGCCACATCCAGAAAACAAATCATTTCAGCCGAAAGTTGGAATGGAGGCAGTAGATGGTTATTAGGTGTAAATAAAAATACACATAAAAATATTGCAGGGGCCGAAATATTTTTTCTTTTTTCTAGTCTATGGAGGACTTGCTCCGGTTAAAATGGGAAAACACGAAGGAACGGCCCACTTCGATTGAGGTTGTAAACGGGAGCAGCCCATGGGCCAAACATGATGTCGTATGGACAGCTAGGCTTTATGGCATATATTATGGCCCATTAAACATTGAAATGAGTCCATGAGCATGGATTATATACCAGTTCAGTCTTTATGGGCCCCGGAAAATCAACAGTAATATACGATGGCCCATTAAACACGTGCCCCCCACAAAGTGAAGATGCGTCCATGACATTGCTTATGGGCCCCGAAGGCCATGATCCATTCGTCAGTCATTAGGCGCTATGGACCGTTTTTTCTTTGTGTAGTTTCTGTATAACTTTTTGAGTTGGAACTGGGTGAATTTATTACTCAACTACTAGCAAGTCAGTTTTTTTTTTAAAAAAACCCCTACTAACAAGTCGTTAGCACCAATTACATGAACAATCTCAGGAATAGAGCTCATAATTTGCTCCTCTCCCTGATTACATAAAAGACCCAGCGCAGCTAGCTCATGAGCAGCTTGATTGCATTCTGTACTTTAATTTAAACACGCACTCAAAGCTAAGGAAACAAGAAGACACTAAAGATAAATTACCAAGAGACCCACAATAGCATTGTCGAAGTCATTGGTCGAGACTGCCTGGACAACCAGCTTTGCATCAGTTTCAACGATCAAGTGACCAATGCCAAGGTACACGCCCGTTTGTATGCCTCGAAGACAGGCTACGAGCTCATCATGGAACGCATTCAGAAGGTGATCAACTCTCCCGCGACCGGTGATGACCACATCTCCCACGTCATTCCGTATCAAGAAGCCCCAGCAGCCCGACGATGAACTAGGCAGAAAGGAGGCATCACAGTTCGATTTGAGGACACCAGTTGGTTCTATATAACTTGGCAAAGATAGAACCTATAGTTTTTGGGTCGGGAGTTGGGACGACCCTTATATCGACTTGTCACTTATCAACTAATTTGTATTAATCATGTCGACAATAACACCTGATTAAGAAATAAAATAAGAGTATATTGTCTTTTGTATTTTTTAGTTTGTTTTAAAATTCTAAAATACAGGAGAGGAGACGGGAGGGGGGAGCAATTGATTTGGTTGGGGCGGCGGGCGGTGGGTCACTGCAAATCAATAGTTTCCTGGATCTAGATGAGAGACATGCATGGAGCATGGTGGATTCATGCTGGTGGAGCAGGCGGCCGGTTGGGATGTCCAGGAGACGTGCATCCACGATTGTGCCGCACCAGCAGTCCAGCACGGCAGCACCCCTGTCCCGTCCTTGATTTCCAGTTCATCAGATCAACTGCGAATTGAACGAGCTGCCTCTGTCGCGTTCGCTGCCGCGAGGTGATCGCTGCACGCTAAGGGCTTGTTCGGTTATCTCGGATTCACGGCGTGGAACTATTCCCAGCTGGAATGATTAAGGGCCCGTTCGTTTGGCAGGGAACCAGCCCTTGGATCCATTCGTACTGAGAATACTTCACTAATTTGTACTAGTTTTGATCAGCTAGAAGGGTTTCTGGTTGGATTTCACCCAACCGAACGAGCCCTAAGTAATTTGGATAACAGTAATCAGCCGGATTGGTTCCCGCCTTCGTTCCGGAATAACCGAAGGGTCCCAAGTTGGACGGGCCGCGAGGTGATTTTTAGTTCAATCAGATCAAATCACGGCTCTAATCTAAACGTGACCCTTGTCCCGCGGTCAACGACCGAAATTTGGACGGCCGGCGCTGGCTTCCATCCCAGCAATACAGCATCCTACAAGCCAACAGCCACCGCCACCGCCACCTTTTGCCTGCGGCCTGCCGCCGCCCGCCGAGAGTGTTTTGTGCCGCGGAAGTGCCGCCACTTTCCCACCGCTTCAGCGGCCCCCACGCGCCATCGTGCCATCCGCGCTCCTCATCTGACGGCCACCAGCAGCATCTCATTCTCACGACCCCTCGCCGATCGCCGTCCCGTCCCGGCCCCTCTTTCTTCAAACCCACGCAACCCCGGATAGTCGGATACCAGTCCACCACAGCAAAGGTGGCAACGGGCAAGGCACCACCACCAACCCAGCAGACTGGCACGATCGTCCCCGCCCGAGCCCCGAAGGTCTCCCTGTCGTCTCCCCACCCACCCACCCACCCACCCTCTGATCCCAGGCATGACGGCGACGTCCAGGGCCCCGCGACGGCCCCGCATCCGGCCCCGCGGCCCGCCGCCGGCGCCGACCCCGATCCGCACGGCGCGCGGCGTGCGCTCCGCCGCCGCCGACGAGCGCGTCCTCGCCGAGTTCCTCGAGGCCTCCCTCCGCGTGCCCGACCTCTCCCTACCCCCGCGGCGGAAGCGCTTCAATTTCCCGCCGGCGCCGGCGCCGGAATCAGACGGGATCTCTTCGCGTGCCCTCGTCTCGGGCGACGCGGACGCTGCACTGCGGGCGGTGACTGCGGCCGCGGAGTCCGGCGCGTTCCGCTTGACCGGCGCGATCGATGCTCGCGAGGTGCGCGACGCCGTGGAGGCGGCGTCGGGGGCCGTGTTCGCAGCGCCGGAGGAGGTGAAGCGCGGCCTGGGGAGGTGGTTGGTCCGAAGGAGAGATGGGGCGCCCGGGGAGGAGTTCTTCTGGTTCCGGCCGATGAGCGCCGACGAGGACAGAGCGATGGACGCGGCCTTCCCTGGCTCCACGTACCGTGCGTTCAGGTACGTGCTGTGCTGCCAATTTATACCTCCTTTGTACTAGAGTGTTTTGTCTCTTTCCTGGTCACCCAGGCAGCTACTTATATACCCACATCGGTATGTCAGTGTAGCGATAGCTTGTGCTAGCTCGGTGCAGGTAAATGTAATTATGCAGAGAATTTCAGAAGCCGAATTCAGTTAGAAAAGACGGGTTCATTTGAAAACTTATGTCTACACGTTTTTAGACAATGTGCTAGCTAGGTGCAGGTTTTAATGTAGTAATATGCAGAGAATTTCAGAAGCCAAATCCAGAGAAAAAACTGGGTTCAGTTGAAAACCAAAATTGATCGTCTGCACTGTTTTAGATAATGAAATCAAAACAATCCGGCTTGAGCCTGTGGTACAACACACTTGGGTGTATACCGGCTACCACGTATTGTCAAACTCTGTGTAAGGTGTGATGAACTGATGATATTAGGTCCAATTTGGTTTCTCACCGCAGCTCTAAGTGCCTTAGCTTTTATTTAGGGATGGCACCCATTAAAAGACTCATACCAATTGCACCTATTAAAAAACCCATACTAATCGCGGATATAATTCTCACCCATATTCATGTCCATGCGGGCAGGAGGTACTCGTGGGTTGCCCATGCCCGAGAAAAAACTAGAGTACATCATTACCATTACACCGCTATAATAAACATATCACAGAGTCATACGGAGTCATGTGCAGCAACACAACTCAAATAGGCAATATCATAGTTCGAATGAGATATTAGTAGCCAATCCTATTACTAAATCTCCATCTATGATAGGCGAACATCCATATGATCGTCGGCTCTAGTAATCAGCGTTGCCATTATTATTGATTCCTTATTCTCATGACGTTTGCTACTTTTCTGTAGCAAATACAAAAATCCGAAGCAGTCCTTATTATTCTTGTCAAGCTATAATACTCGAATCTTCATAAAGTGCCCATGTAAATAACTACTCACTCTGTTCTAAATTGTAAGGCGTCCTAAATTTTCTAGATATATAACTTTACTATAAATCTAGATATAATGTATATATATGTGTGTAGCAAAAGTTATGTACTTAGAAAACCAGAACGATTTACAATTTAGAACGAAGGGAGTACATATTTTCCATGGTAGTAGTGTCATCCAACTTTGTCAGAAGAATGTTAGTTTAGAATGATACCATCAAATGAAGATTCAGTAGTGGTTGTATCAGATGATTGGTCAAGTGGCTTAAGAAACAATTATAGCTAGCTTGCTGCTAACATTTTGACGTGTTTCTGTGTCTTTGTGCCTTGCACGATGGATATTGAAGGCCTATTTAGAACACGGGAATTTCAAAAGAATCACACTTTTCTAAGAATCGGTTTATTTTTACATAAGCATTTAAAGGGCGGTTTGGATTATCATGATAGATATCAAGTGACCAGTCAATCTTGTAAGCACTGCAAAACAGCCTTTTTTTTATTGAGTAGACGAAGCAGTGTATGTTCTTTTTATGTGTCTTTACTTGACAAACCCAATTCCCAAAGGCCTCCTTATGAAAAAAAAAGTAAAGGCAAGGGGTGTGGTAGGCCCATGTGCGTACATAGGACCAAATTCAGCGCAACGGCCCAGACAAACTCTGTTTGTACTCTGTAGTCACCACCACACTAACATGAGTCCGTTCAATTTTGCTAGAGAGAAGATGGACACTTTGGCGTCCAAAATGGAGGATGTAGCAAAAGTTATCATCAGGGTTTTATCTGATAACGTCAAAACTCCTAAAGCCTCTGCTCAGTTCAGAGAAGCCCCGTCAATCCTGTACCTGACATTGTACAGCAGTAACATGTCGAGAACATGTTGGAACGAGTTTGACAGCACTACTGCTCCTAACTCGCACGCTTTGAGCATCCACCTCTGTGGACATGATCGGCGGATTTGTCTCCGCAATCTGGGGGGCTCAACCTTCTCCAGTTTGACTGCTGGCTGTATGCTTGTCACAATCGGCAAGCAGATTCAGGTAACCTGCCATATTCATCACTGCTTACTGTCTAATTTAAGAACTGCCAAGATCTCAAATGAGCACGTAATTGCCTTAGCCTACTGTTGCGTACTGTGAAATATGTATATGTCCAGGGCTTTCTCTGTAACACAGTTCGGCAAGTGTATCAGTATGCGCCTGCCGGATGTTCTGTTCCAAGTCTGAAAATATGACAGTGTTTGCTCTGAACTCAGGAATGGTCCAATGGGCAGTTCAAGACCTCTGTTGGAGATGTACTGTTTGAGATGACCGATGAACCAGGTCCCTTCATCTCCGTGGAACTCATGTACTGTCCAGACGACCTGCAGTCCAGTCGCATTGACCGTCCCAAGATCGTTTCTTTTAGGGACCAGATACTGATTGCTCTGATGTTGCTGTCTTTCTTCTACCTCTTCTGGTGCTGAGTGCATCCGGGGTCCATTTGGAGTTTTGGACTTAATTCATTTGCGATGTCCGAGATGGCGAAATTTTACAGCCTTCTTGGTCCTAACTGCCTGCCCTTCTCCATTGATTGATTGTGGAGATTGGGAAAACACTGCATGGATTGCAGTGACAACAGGTGGTTTGAGTGTTTGGGTTGATTTACATTCCTTTTTTTCGAGCGATAAAAGAAAAAGAAACATAATAGATTTGGTAAATACTGCTTTTAGCTTGCTATAGTTGAGGAGCATACTATGGGATTGGTTGATTTTTCGATTGAGATAGTTGACGCTGCGATTGAAGTGTTACTGTAATAATTGTTTCTCTACATTCCTGAATTATGTATGTAGTAGTATATGGGTTGCTCTTGTGGGCTGTGGCCTGGATATGGGGAATTGCTTCCTTGCAATGTGAAGGCCTGTACTGTAATTATGGGTTTCCTGAAAGAAAGGATTGTACTGTGATTGTTTCTTAATGAATAAAGGAAACCTTTATTTACACTCCATGTTTGATGTTCCTATTGCATTTCGTTGTCTTCGTACTATATGTGTAGTCTGCAATAGATTTATTTTGCTATATATAGTTTGCCCATGTTGTCGGTCCAGCAAGTGACAATCCCCGTACTGCTTACCAAGCGGTGCAAATAGCGCTGACGCTGCTATTGTTGAGATTTGGCATGGGTTGCCAGATTCGTTTAACAGTTATCACCGTGAACTCTTGGTGATAGCCTGATAGGTCTCACGCGTGGTCGGTCATGTGCGCACTGCCTGCCTTGTCACGTCCTTTTGTGCTGGTACAGTGTGCCCTACGATCCTTGGGTTTGCATTATAACGCCATGTTCGTTTGGGCTTGTTTGGTTTTTTTTTGGCTTATTTTCAGCCAACGAATAATATTTTTCTCTCACGCTAAATCAGCCAACGGTACTTTTAGTCATGACTTATAAGCCAAATACGACGGCACGTCCGATCCTGACTAATCAACCGTAAAGACGGTACTGGTGTGTTGCTGTAACGGGATCACGGACGGTGGCCCCGTGACGGAACGGGGTCCAAGTGAATTGAACGGCCACCTGCAAGTCTGCGTGCGACGCAGCGCTCTCCCTGCGACTGCAGACAAACAGTACGCTCTCCCCATCCAGTCCCTCTCGGCTCTCGCACTCGCACAGGTGCCGTGCACTGCCACCAGCCACGACCACGACACGAGAATGCAAAACGGCAGGTCCTTGTCTCGCCAAATGCATCCGCGCACCGCCAGGGGGCAGGGGCCCGCCCGGCCTGCTGCTGGAACTGGAAGTGCTGATCGATCCTGCAGCCGAGTCGCCGATCCCGTGGCGACCCCCTGTGAGACTGCAGTGAAACCCCAGCGGTCCGCGAGCCCTCGTCGCGGGCCGCGCACCGACCGGAAAGAAGGACGTGCGACCAACCCGTCCTCGGCTCCTCGCCCTCGTCTCCGTGCCCGGTAACGCGCGCAGCTGGGGCCTCTGCCCGGCCTCATCAATGCGGGCGATCTCTCGAGCGATCTGCCCGGGCCAAGCACTGGCGGACAAGGCCCTACGCGAAACCTTCCACGCAAGCCCGCTCCCGATGGGCGATGGGTGATGCCAATCTCTCAACCCCCATCCTGTTTGTTGCGCCTTGCGTCTTGCTAATCATTGCAATCATTGGCGCCATCTCTGCTTCGTCAAACCCTTTGTGTTCTTTTGCCTGCTCAAACTCTTGTTTTTCTTTTTTTCCCCTTTTTGTCATGTCCTTGTTACCCTTGACTGTTTTCAAACGCCGTGACGAACTCGGACCAAGCATTGCTTTGGGCAGCTCATATTTTGTTCAGTTCACATCGTCTCATCCATCAATGTACTCCTACTAGACGAGTTCTTTGACGCCGGTGTGGGCAGTTCTGTGACGGCTGCCGAGCAAAGTTCCAGTGAACGCCAGTCTGAGCAGGAGGCAGAGCTCGGCTCGCACTGCGTACCACTGTGCCGATATTGACAGAGACAGTATGTGGCGGCGAGTCCAAAAAGGCCGCTCCTACTTCTTACACCTGCATTGTTGAATTGCCTCTGTAAAAGCAGTATAGTTGACACTACACGTCCGGGTGGATTCCTGAAGGTCAGAACAGGACTGATCTTTGAGCCATCTATTCAGACTTTTATCTGCTGTGAAGGTTAGCCTGGTACAGGTACAGGTTAATTACCTCCAAGTTTCGCTTCGCTCCTGCTGTTCCTGCTCCCCGGATGTGATGTCTCAAAGTTAAGGCACCTCACTGACTAATCACTGAGCGGCACTGCGGCGATTACAGGCCTCCGAAGACACCGTAGTAAATGAGCGATATGTGTAGCTGCAGGGCCTTTTGTCAGCCTTGCGTTGCATCTTCTCCAGCTGCTGTACAATGTATCCATGCACTGCTGTAAGCTGCTCCGGCTCCTTGGACGCTGGTAGTGTTTGACATTACTCCTAGATGGCAATGGGCATGTCTGAGTCTCGAGCCTGTGAGAAGTGTGAAGTGTTACTTTCGGCAGTTGGCACTTGGCACTTGGCAGGCATGAGCTTAGAACCATCCGCAAAATCACCGCGAGAAACCAGCTGATTTCAGCAAATACGGTACCATAAACGCTTCATATTTGTTTTTGTAACAAGTGGTCATACCGGCACACGGCAACAGGGTCTTCAGCACTGGAGCTGTAAACGGGGACACAGGTTGCTGCATGTCCATGACCATGACTGTTGATTGGCTTCAGTGAACCCTGCCACAGTGCCACTTCTGGCCCCAGCCGAAGCTTCTTCCAACAGTAACAACCTTGGCTTGATTTCTTTTACAGTCAATAGATAGATAAACTTCCCCTGCACATAAACTTCCCCTGCACCAACCTGTCCTGTCTGTGCACATATACAGCCTGTTCGCTTACTTGTATCTGGCTTATAAGCCATGGCTTATCAGCCAACGAACAATATTTTTCTCTCATATCAAACCAACCAACAATACTTTCAGCCAACCAACACCAATCTGGCTTATAAACTCCTATGTTGACTCGAGTACCACCGTACTGAAGACACGATGGCACGCCGTACCGTACGCATTGCGTGTGGATTCAGGTGGTTCAGACATGACTACCGACTACGATCGGTTATTGAACACTGCTAGCAGGTATTCGTGAACGGAAGACCCCGCCCGGAAACACAGCAACTTCGCAGAAATGTTTCTGCTCGTTGTCGGAAACAGCGAGCGTTTTGCTCAAGCCATGTAAACTTTTTTTTTTCTACTGATGAGTTCAGATCGACGGTTCGATCCGTCCTCGCAATTCGTTACTGCAACCAAACACTGGTGGCTTGGACTTGAACAGCCTCTCCGTCGCATCAGGCACTCTCGCTACAAGTTCAACGGCTGTTCTCAACTTCTCATAGGTCCAGTTTAGTTGTCAAAATTTTTGGCAAAACGCTACTGTAGCGTTTTCGTTGTTATTTGATAATTAGTGTCCAATCATAGTCTAATCAGGTTTAAAAGATTTGTCTCGTAGATTTCGTCTAAACTGTGTAATTAGTTTTATTTTTTATTTATATTTAATGCTTCATACCCGCGTCCAAAAATTCGATGTGACGAAAATCTTAAAAAATTTGATGTTTTGGAGGAAAACTAAACAAGCCCATAGTTCCATGACGTGAACCGGCGGTGGTTGTCTCCAATCATGCTCTATCGTTTGTTACGAATGCCATGCCAATGTGCCATGCAGATGGGGCCTTTTTATCATGGGGCCATACACTGCGCACTGGGACAAATGGCAGTGCTGCTACAGCATCTAGAACCATTTAAGGCCTGTTCGTTTCACGAGGAATGGCTCTCAGTAAAAATTTCAGCCGGAATTGCTAGTTAATTTATACAAGATTTGATTAGCTGGAAAAATTCCTGACCTCATCCACCCCTAACTGAACCAGCCCTTAAGTGGTATCCCATGTTCTTGCGGAAGGAGGAGGAAGAAGAAGACATCGGATGATCTATCTGATGATCCTTATGTCCTCCGATCCGGCCCCTGGAATAATGTGGGTGCTACCATATATATTTGACCTAGTTACTGCTGTTGTTTTTTGTAATTTCATTGTTCCATTAATAGATTGTGTGGCCCATGGAGAAATCTCTCATTACAACTTTCAGAACACAGTAGTTTGCACTCTAGTACTGCATTGGAGAGAGAGAATCTACAAGTATTTCTCGGAACTGAATGCTTTCCTTGTGATCTGCACTCACAAACGCTTCTCGTTGCTGGGAATGGAATCTCCAGAGTCTGCGATACTTTCACCGAGAATTTTTATATTTTAATCATTTTTTATTTAATATTTTAATAATAACCGCTCTAGTTTTTTTTCCCAGATCTAACACTTTTGGTCGCGCCAGTGGAACTAGCGTGACCAAATAACGCTGTCGCGTCAAATGCATTGGCACGACAAGATCTACCACGTTGTACGACGTTTCCGATGTGGAAACCTTGTCATGCCACTCCCAAAGGCGTGACAGTACTGTTCTGTTGCACCACCGAGAGTGGCGTGACAAAATAAAACATTTGAAAAATCATAACTTTTTGATATGATGTCGGATGAAGATGAAATTTATATCAAAATTGTAGCCCTCGATGAGATCTGCAACTTTGTAGTTTTGAGTTTTTTCATTTGAGGATGTTAAGATGCTCAAAAAGTTAATATAAAATTTCAGAATCATAATAACCACGTGCAAGTACTCGTCACATTAAAAAATTAATATGGTTTTTGTATGGAGTCAAATAAAGATACTTTTTACATGAAAGTTATACCTTTCAATGAGATCTATACCTTCGTAGTTTTGAGTTTTTACATTTGAGATCGTTAAAATGCACAAAAAATATATATAAAATTTCAGCAACATAATAATTACGTACTCGCGCCTGCCGCATTAGAAAAATAATAAATGTGAAAACACAAAACTATAAAGTTATAGATCTCACTAAGGGCTACAACTTTGATATAAAATGTATCTTCATTTGTCACCATATAAAAACGATATTTTTTTCTAATGCGATAAACTCTTGTACGCGATTATTATACTGCTGAAATTTTATATTATTTTTTCATGCATTTTAACGATCTTAAATGTAAAAACTAAAAACTATAAAGTTGTAGATCGCATTGAGAGCTATAACTCTCATGTAGAAAGTATCTTTATTTGACCATACAAAAATTATATTATTTTTCAAATACGACGAGCACTTGTACGCGGTTATTCTGCTTCTGAAAATTTATATTAATTTTTTGACCATCTTAACATCTTTAAATGAAAAAACTCAAAACTAGAAAGTTATAGATCTCATCGAGAGCTACAATTTTCATATAAACTTCTTCTTCATTCGACATAGTATCAAAGAGTTATGATTTTTCAAAAATTTTGTCTGGTCACGCTACCCCGGTGGCGTCACTGAACGATTCTGTCACGCCAGCGGGAGTTGCGTGACAACATTTTCCACGTCGGAAACGCCGTCTAACATGACGGATGTTGCCGCGCTAATGCATGTGGCGCGACAACATTATTTGACCGTGCGGGTCAAATTCACAAAAAAAAATTAGAGCGACTATTATAGAAATATTGAGCAAAAAAGGATTAAAAATAAAAAAAATACCTTTCACAGGCCCGTCGCACTGCCTCTTGTAGTAGTAGAGAAGTAGAAATGTCTGACGGCTCGAAGCAGCAGTAGCATTGCTAAGTGTTTTAAACTCGCTAGGCTTTTGTCTTCAACTGGCGTCATGGTTGTCCCCTAGCTAGTTCTGCAGCCTATAACTGCGAGGCTCAAGGAGATCCCTAGGTGAGACTGTCTCAAGGGAGCAGCCAAAGCGGAACCCAAACACATTTTGGGTAGCGCACAGTGTTTCGGGTAAAAAAAAAAGTCTCCAACGGCGTATGCAAACTGAACACCCATTTTGGGTACGAGCTGAGCCGGAACGTAAAGATGCGTCGTCTCTTCCCCACGACGCAATCCTCTTGCGCCGGTAGTGGTGGGCCTAGGCGTCGGGGTGGAGCCGACGACAACAGCGACGTGCTTCCGCGGACGACTACGACGAGGCGCGGGGGAGGTCGCGTCTGCACTGCCGGAACCGCGCCAGGGTCGCGGCGAGGGGGAGCAGCGGTGGCACTCCCCCACGTGCTCGCCCGCGCGGCGGCCGGCCGGAGGTCACCCGCGCAGCGGCAGGCCGAAGCTCCCCCGTGCGGTCGCCCGAGCTTGCCCGCGCGCTCGGGCCGGATCTGGCCCACGCCCTCTTCCCCGGCGAGCTCGATCGTGGCGGCTCCCTCTTCTCCGGCAAGCTCGTCAGCGGGGAGGGGGGCGGGCGGCGCATGCAGAGAGGCGGGGAGGGAGACGAGCGGACCTCGGCGGGGAGGGAGACGGGCGAACCTCGGGGGGCTCCTCCTTTGCCTTCTGGCTGTTGAAAAACGAAGTTTTTGGGTCGGTGACCCATTTGCTGTGCAAACCTAAATCCTAGAATGGGTCGCTGTTTTGCCTTCTCGTTGTTGGAGTCAGTCTAACGGGTACTGTATTCAAGAAGAAGCACAAAAAATACGCAACCTGCACCAAAATGTCCTTATCAAAACGAGGAACAAACTCAACCAGTCCAAGAGGTGAAGTACAAAGAACTTACTACTGTATCAGTAGTTCAGTGGTGAACACTGATTGATGATGAACTTTCAGAAACAAAAGGAGAAAAGAGTGGGAAGAACTTGATCAGAGTATTGAACTGTTTTTCACTTTCTTAAAATAAATTATACTAAACTGCATTGTCCAGTAATTGAGGAAGCAAACACCATGTTCGCTTGGCTTATAATCCGTATTTTTTCAACGAACGAACAATATTTTTCTCTCATGATAAATTAGCCAACGACATTTTTAGTCATGACTTATCAGCCAAGCGAACATGGTGTTTGCTTCCTCAATCACGTCAAGAAGTAAAACATATATGACCGTTTTCTATCCAATCTTTTACTGATGTCTTGAGGAGTTGGTCTGATCAAGCGTATAAATTAATACAGTAGTATACTGCCAACATACAGTAGCTAAGACACTGGAGTGGATGGATACCACTATGCGATTGACCCATAAACATCTGAACTCGAATACTACACAATACAGTGAATACCTACCATTTATTGCATCAGTATTACACTGCTACTGTTGTATACAGTCCTCCCAACAATGCAGAATTACAGAGTACTGTAAGTAGGAAGGCGCTACGCCTACGTAGTCAAGAAACAACAGGCAAAGACCCGAAATTAGTTGTCAGTCAAATGTCTGGACTGATTCTTGTAGCACATCGGCCTCGGATGCTCGACCAACTTCTATTCTTCAACGTCTAGGGGCCGTTTGGATCACAGGAAAATCAAAGGAAGAGCGTAGGAATTCACATTCAACGGCACAAAATTTGCTGTTTGGAACGAGGAATCACTCAACCCTTTCCTCCATAATCCTGTAGCCAGATGCTCATTTCACATAAAAACAAAAATTCATTGCTACCTTTGGTTTTGTCTCCGCCGCGGAAGTCGGAGGCAGCAGCCAGCAACGTTGGATGCTGATTGGCTTTGTTTGACTCTTTGGCAAGACTGATTGAAGAGGGCCCACGTACAACTACCAAATTAATTCTAATTTATCCTTGTTACTGTGTTTTTTATTCCTACGTTTCAAACACATCTTCTTATATTTTCCTATGTTTTTTCGTTCGTCTGTTTTGCCACTTTATTCCTATATTTTTCCTCCGTTTTCTCCCATTTTGCATTCCTTCGTTCCAAACAGGAATGAAAATGATATATTCCCTCCGTCCCGTAATAGAAATCGTTTTGGTACGTGTGTAGGTCAAACTTTCTCAACTTTAACTAGGTTTATAGAAAATACGTGCAATATTTATATCTTCAAATAAGTTTATTATGAAAGTATATTCAACGATCTTTCCGGTGATACTAATTATATATTATAAATATTAATATTATTTTATATATAATTGATCAAAGTTAAAAAAGCCGACTTCTATGAAAGCGAGAACGACTTCTATTTTGGAAGAGAGGGACACTTCTTTACCGCCTGGTACATGTGAATAGTGTAGTCGCTACTCACTATATTACCTCCACATATCCTCATAGGAGTACAAAGGCAACGATACAGCAACTTTTTTTTTTTATTTTTTGCGTGTGGAGTGCTAGATGGGTGTCATTTAATTCAAACTTAGCAGCTCACCCGATTTTTTTTAGCAGTACACGCCCACAGCATATCAGTTACGGTTACAGTTTACCTGGTAGGTACAGTGCACAGGTGTTTAGGCTGAACCAAGCGCTACTGTATCATCGAGGTAAAGAGAAGCAGTGAAGAACAGCATGGTTTGGTTTCACTGGATTGGCAAATATCTGCATACCCAATTTAGGACCATTAACAGGAATATAATTACGATTTACAACCACCCACTCTTGGTTTCGTTTAATTCACCATGCAAGAGTGGCGTTGCATTTTGCTGCATGAGCTCTGCTACACCTTGACGTCAGAGAGCGTGACCCAGATATGCTCGAACACCTCGACGATGAGGTCGTGGTACTCGGCGGCGTTGAGGGACAGGTAGCACGCGAGGAGGTCCTCGAGGTCGGCGGCGGTGCGGATGCCGTTCTCGGTGATCATCTCCTCCATGGACTCCCGGAAGTCCCGCCTCGGGTCTCGCGACGACTTCACCACCGCGAAGCTCTCAGCCAGAGGCGGCGGCGGCGGCGGTCTGGTCCGCGCCGGCGAGCGCGCGGTCGTCGTCGTCGTCGTCGTGGGCGACCTGCACTTCTTGGACGATGCTAAGCGCGGGGTGTTGGCGCGCGTTTTCAGTCGCCGCGCCGACGACGACACGGACCGCCTCGGCGGCTTGAGCTTGCTCTGTTCGGGGACGACAGGCGAGGCTCGTCGGGTCGCGTGTGCGAGGACGTCGATGTGCTTGTCCTCGAGCTGGCACACGTCGGGCTCCCTCTTCGCCGGCTTGGTCGTGATCGGCGGGAGCGTCTTGTCGGGCCTCCTCTTGGTCCGCAGGTCGATGATGATATCCGTGGCGGAAGTGATCACTTTGCCGCCGTCGAGCTTGTCGTGGGCGCGGACGGCGGCAACCGTCGGTTTCTTCACGTACTCGTCGTCGTCGTCGTCGTCGTCGCTGCTGTACCCGACGAAAATGTCGCGGCGGCACGGCGGGGTGTCGGGCGCCTCGACCACCACGAGCTCGGGCCTGTGGCTGCGGCCGCAGCGGCATGCGGCGGTGGAGGCCGGCGACGACGCGACGCCGCTGCTGCTGCTGGCAGAGGGCGGCGCCGCCGCAGCCAGCTTGACGGACCGCCTCCGGTGGTGGTGGCGCCACCTGCTGGACCGGCGCGGCGGCGACTGCTGCAGCGGCGGGAAGCGCGTGTCGGAGGCCTTGGGGTGCAGCGGCGACGGCGAGCCCAGCTGGACGAGGTCCCCCGCCCGCGGCGTGTAGTAGTGGGACGCCCTGTGCGGGAGCCACGGCGCGGCCGCGCCGTGGCCGTGGCCGTGCCTCGGCGTGGTCGGGGGCGGCCGCAACGCAGCCACGCGGGGGCTGGCTGCCGCGGCGCCGCCCCGCGCGCGCATGTCGCGGAGCTTGAAGAACCACGCGTTCGGGATCATGTCTGACAACCGGAACTTGTGCCGCCCCATGGCTGGCTCCTACAGAGGAATGCGGGGTGAAGCACAGCTACTGCGGCAACAAGACTGCCCGCGCGTGCGCTGCTGTGCTTCTTTCTCTTTGGTGGCTTGCTGTTTCGCTTAGCTTTAGCATGCTCTGTACGAGGAGGAGCAGAGGCGCGGCGCGGGGAAGATGAGATGAGGACGAGGCGAGCTGCGAGGCAGAGCAGGAGCGCAGAAAATGGCGCGCACTGCACTGCAGTAGAGTGGGGCGAAGCGGGATGACTCGAGGAGAGGAGGGGACGCGAGGCGCCTTTTGTCCTCGCGCTCGTGCGTCGCCTCCGGGGCCCCCTCCTCCCGTTCCTCCCATTCCTCTATGCGGCGTGGACCCCTACACCACACCGGATACGGACGACGCGGGAAACCCACCGCAGGGTCGGAGACCTCATCCGAGAGACAAGGGGGGTCATCGCTCATCACTTCGTCAGAACTCAGAAGGGGGCTCCGGCTCGCGCTCATGTCAAGGCCGAAACGGCGACGCAGGCAGCCACCGAGCCTCGCCACGCACGAAGGAATCATCTCCTTCGCTCCCTGTTCACATCGGACGTTGAACACGTACGTGGAGTATTAAATATAGACTAAAAAATAATTAATTGCACATATTACGACTAATTTACGAGACGAATTTTGTAAGCCTAATTAGACCATGATTTAAAAATACGATTCTACCGTAAACATGTGCTAATGATAGGTTAATTCGGCTTAATAAATTCGTCTCGCGGGCTGATGACTTCCGTAATTTTTTTATTATTACTGTCTGAATACTCCCGGTGACGTGGCGTCCCTAAACTAGAGTTAAACACCACCCAAATCACATCGTACTGTAGTATGTACTACTGTTAAGGATCGCATTGTTTCTATAAAAAATCGGAAGACAACGAGCGCGTGCACTGTGCTCGTGTGGCGATCGATCTGCCGACGTGAAAGCCTTCAGGGATAGGGGGATGGCGGGTGCAGAGAGTGTTGGTCGGAGGGAGATGGGCCTGCACCTGCACGCACGGACGTAGTAGACGGCCGTAGATAGAGTATAGGAATAGGAACGGGAGCCTTCTTCCTGTGTCTTCAGTCTTCACTCCCCACAGTCTTTCAATTCAAATTATTATTATTATTATGCGCGTCAACAGCGTGGCGTCGCTGTTGTTTAATCGTTTTATTTCCATCGCCTGCGATGGCACCAGCAGTTGCCCCGTGCTCGTGCAATGTTCGATCAGTCGGTGCACATCATCACGGAGATAGGGGAGTACTCCCTCCTTTCAACTGTAGTACATTTTGTTTTGTATGAGGCACCTGGAGAAGGTTCACGTTGATAATCGAAATCTAAGCCTGCCGTGCGCGGCTTTTTGGGGGGCGATTGGTCAAAACTTGATGTGCAATGCAATCTCTGTTCCTTGGCTTGTCACGTAAGATACGCCCGGGCAGGACCACGCTGTGAGAAGTGTCTTACAGCGCAAGTGTGGCTGAGGTTTGCCTCGTCAGCGCTGTTAGACTTAAAAGTAGGATCACTGGCCATATATTTAGCATGTGTATTTATATTTGAAATAAACAGTGAATCCTAAAACATCTACTAGTATGAGATTAAGGAGAAGAGAGAGGGGCAATGGTCTCTAACCGAGAGGGCTTGGTGGAGGAGTTGTTGGAGCCGTCCATGGCAATGGCTGTGGTGCTGTCCGAGTCGGTGAAGGCGGTGGCGATGTAGCAGTGGAGTCCGGTGGCGGCGAGACGATGGGGCTTTCCGTCTTTGTTGCGCACCTCTAGATCGGATTAGGGTCTGTTGGTGGGGCGACTTTGGCTGCTCATGGTGAACCTCGTGAAGAGAGCCGCCGGCCCCCATCTTTGTTTTTATAGCGCAGTGTGATGGGGGCTCACTAACCATATAGGGTTGGGCACCCCCGATCATGGCGCGGATTCAAGGACCCAATTGGTCGGTGGAGATCATCTAACATTCTCTCCTTTGATCTCACCTTATTACTTAAACTCATCTTATTTACTTTATCGTGTTCATATTCCATCACAGATCAGTGCATAGAGCGTGCCTCATCGTTATGGTCACTTGTCATTAGATTAAACAGCTACAATGCACATCTCTGTTTTGAAAACAGATTCTTAACTAGGCCTTTATTGTTCAGGAATCATAGGCTTTCCCTTAAACCCATGCCGGCTAAGTGTTCTCTGAACACGCTGGGTGATAAGCCTTTTGTAAGCGGATCTACGAGCATCTTTTCTGTTTTTATATGCTCAAAACTAATTATATGATCCCGGATTTTATCTTTCACAACATAATACTTTATATCAATGTGTTTGGCAGCACCACTTGACTTATTGTTGTGAGCATAATATACTGCTGGATTATTATCGTTGTATAACTTAAGTGGCTTATGTATGTCGTCTACCACTTTCAACCCGGGCATAAATTTTTTTAGCTAATTCATCTGCCATGTGGCCACATAACATGCTATAAACTCGGCATACATTGTGGACGATGTAGTGACAGTTTACTTTGAGCTTTTTTCACAATATAGCTCCTCTTGCGAGAGTGAATATATATCCTGACGTGGACTTTCTTTCATCTCCTGCATAATCAAAATCTGTATACCCCTCTATGTGCAGGGAATCGAATCTTCTATACGTTAGCATAAGACTGTTTGTACCTTGCAGGTAACGCAAAACTTTCTTTACTAATTTCCAGTGTTCTATTCCTGGATTACTCTGATATCTGCCAAGCAACCCGGTAACAAATGCTAAGTTAGGGCGAGTACACACTTGAGCATACTGTAAACTTTTGATAGCTGAACTATATGGAACCGCTTTCATTTGATCGATCTCATATTGGTTCCTGAGATATTGAAATTCTCTATATCTGTCGCCCTTGACTATGGGAGCAGGTGAAGACTTACAATTTTACATACTATATTTCTTTAGAACTTTTTCTAAGTATGTCTTTTGTGATAATCCTAAAAACCTATTTTCTCTATCTCGGTGAATCTCTATTCCTAGGACGAACGAAGTTTCACCGAGATCCTTCATATCAAACTTTGAGGACAAGAACTTCTTTGTTTCTAGTAGTAGATTAACATCACTGCTAGCGAACAAGATGTCATCCACATACAAGACTAGAAAAATGTATTTCCTATTCTTGAACTTTGCATAAACACAATTGTCCTCTATATTTTTTTGAAACCCAAACTTTTTTATTATACTGTCAAACTTCAAGTACCACTGTCTTAAAGCTTGTTTTAATCCATAAATGAATTTCTTCAGGTGGTATCCCATGCGTTCTTTTTCTTGCACAACAAAATCTTTCGGTTATACCATGTGAATATTTTCCTCCAGATCCTCATTCAGGAATGCCGTCTTTACATCCATCTGATGTAATTCTAAATCGTAATATGCTACAAGCGTCATTATGATTATAAAAGAATTCTTACATGAGACTGGAGAAAATGTCTCATTATAATCTATACCTTCTCTTTGCGTGAAGTCTTTCACCATAAGTCACGCTTTAAATCTTTCTATATTCCCTTTGGAGCCATATTTAGTTTTGTAGACCCATTTTATAGCCTACTGTCTTGGCTCCTTTAGAAATTATTTCTAAGTTCCAAACACTATTGGTTTTCATTGATTTATTTCATCTTCATGGCTTCAAGCCACTTGGATGAGTTAGCGCTTCTCATGGCTTCTTCAAATGAGGTGGGATCACCCTCCATTTAAAATTCCCCACATTCATAAACTTCGTAGTCAGCAGGAATGCCTGATCTCCTGACTCTTTGAGACCTTCAGGGGCCTCGTTAGATGACGCTTTGTTCTATATGAGGCTGTTGTTGCTCTTTCTCATGTGTGACAACGGGTTCTAGGGGATTTTGAAGGACAGGTTCCTCATGTTTATTCATTGTTATCACAGCAGAACTAACAACAGGTGATATAACTACAGTGTCTTGCACTGTTGGTACATCAACAACAGGTAGCGTGAAGAATGGCTCCTGAACCATAGAAGTGGGCACGTATATCCGCTTTTCTTTAAAAACTAATTTCACGCGCTACCATGCTCCCCTAATCATATCATCCTCCAAGAAGACAACAAGTCTTGTTTCTACAAACTTTATTTGTCTGTTAGGACAATAGAAGCGATAACCTTTTGACTTTTCTGGATAGCCAATGAAATGGCAACTGACTGTCTTGGAGTCTAGCTTTTCTATGTTTGGGTAAAATACTTTTGCCTCAGTTGGACAACCCCCACACGTAAATAGTTAGTGAGGGTTCCTTTCTGTCCACAACTCATACGGTGTTTTGGGCACCGACTTACTTAGCACTCTATTAAGAATATGAATGACGGTTTTTAACGCTTTCCATCCATAAACTTATTGGTAAGGTAGAGTAATTTATCATGCTTCTCACCATATCCTTAAGGTACGGTTGACGTCTTTCAGCTACTCCATACTGCTGAGGCTCATCCGGTATAGAATACTGGGCTACTATGCTATTTTTCTGTTAGTACCTTACAAAGGGTCTAGGAACTTGGCCATATGGGGTGTGTGGTCCGTACTACTCTCCCCCATGGCCGGACCTTACTACCTTAATCTTTAAGTTGTGCTAATTTTATACTTCAGCCTTGAGTATTTTAAATTTATTCAATGCTTCCGATATTTTCTTAATTGGATAAATGTAGCCAAAACAAGAATAGTCATCTGTGAATGTTATAAATGAATCATAACCATCCACACTATTCATAAGAAAAGGACAACATATGTTTTTGTGAACTATTTCTAAAATTTCTACGCTTCGTTTGTCATCTTTCTTTATTTTCTTAACATACTTTTCTTTTATGCAATCTATGCATTGTTCTAAATCTAAAAATTCTAAAGGCGGATGAATTGATTTCTTAATCTATCGCTCTATTCTCCCCCTCGAAATATGGCATAAACGATAGTGCCATAATTTTGAAGATATATCATGCACTCTCTCCCGCTTATTTGTTG